ATCTATCTATCTATCTATCTATCTATCTATCTATCTATCTATCTATCATTCATCTACCACTACCCATTTTAAATAATTAATTTAAATAATCAATCACATATACTTAATTTTTTAATGCACTTACCCAATCCACCAAAAAAAAAATCAGCACTTTCTTGTGAACTCTCCGGTAGTGATTGGAACTCTGTGCACACTGCGTCTGACGAGGATCTTATATATTTGCTTCCATTGAAAGTGATGTGACGTGTCAAGAATTTCTTTTGAAACTCTTTTGTTTTTTCTTTAGGCATCATCACACGCTCAAGTGAACAAACCAGACCTTTAATTGTGTTCTTTTGCACAATTGAAGGTGTGACACTTTCGAATTGTGGATGATTCTTTGTTGTGTTAACCTGTTTTCGATTGATGTGAGTTGAAAAAATCCGTACCGGTTGCTTGGCGGGACTTGTTTGCCATCTCCTGTGCCACATGCCATCGACGCTGGAGGAATTGTTGTGGTTTTCTTTGGGCAGGGTTCATTGGACTGTTCTACCAGAGGGAAAAAAATCTACTTTTAAATCTATATATATATAGTAAATATGTGATAGGAAAACTAGATGATTATAAGGAATAATCATTTATCATTTGATGATGAATATTGTGCCATATGTACTAATTTAATTGCACATATGTCATATTTTAGTTCTAAGTATGTTAATGTGCCACCAGAATGCCATTGACTTTTTGTGGGTCCTCCTCGGGATGAAAAGATGTACACAGGGTACCTGTGCAAGGCACAAAAGCGCTTTTTCATTTTCAAAAGCATGCTGTCATGCAGGGATCCATGACGTCTACTGTGGGGCTGAGCACACAAGTAAAATGAATGGAATTGATGAACAATAGGTGAGAAGATGTTAGCTTTTGTGGTCTCTTTCATAACTTGCCATTCAAAAAAAGCTTATGGTAGGAGAGATGCAGAAAGCAGGTGTGTTTGAAACGTTTGCTAAAAAAGAGCAAACTTGTCCCAGAAAACTATATAATTCCAGATATGTGTTTGAAGCCGTTTAAAGGAAATGACGCATCATCATTTCCATTAACATTTCTGTTAATACTTAGCTGTGCTCTTATCTCCCTCCACAGATAGGTCATTCAAATGAGTTCCAGTTTTTCAATCCTGACAGAGAATTGTTTTCTTTTAGTAAATCTGACCTGTCCCCTTGGTCTCTGAAGTCTTAAATGCATCACAGAGAACAACAGTCAGAAGATGTGACAGAGTTAAGTTAGCAGAAATCAAAACAGGAATAATCTTCAGGCTGGGTTTCCAACGCAGAGAGCTCCACAGATTCAAATAGTTTTGCAAAGCCTTGTTGCATGTGGCAATTCTGAGATTTCAGTGATGCCCTTTAAAAGATTTACTTGACATAAGGTTTGATAGCAGCAACATCACTTTGTTTCAGATCAGAGTTTAAAGTCCGCACACCATTGCGCAGAACTGAAGACCAGGTCTAACAGTAAGGGAAATTAAATGAGTACTCAGGAATGAGAGAGAAAAGTTTTTCACTCTCAGAAATAGACCCAAGAAAAATATCTCAAATTTATTCAAACCTATCTGTCTGTTTTACAAAGCCAGAATGCTCCGCTAACAAGTAAAATGGATTTGTGTCCATGCTTTTCATCATAATACAGGTGTTATGTGTGACATAATATACAATTTATTCAGTGTGACATGTGTTGACCTTATTGACCTCATTATCAGTGCAATATGACTTAAGATAAATGCTGAAACATGTTTTTTCCCTCTGGTAGAACATGACCTTTACATCTGGAAGTGCTGAAGTCAGTAACTGAAAAAATGGCAATATTTGACTTACCTGAAAATACGAGGTGGTGCTTCCTCCTTTAACAACATGCGGCTGAAAAAAATTGGAGGCTCAATATTTATCCATCTGATCTCCTGTTTACCAACTTTAAAACAGTTTAACCATTTCTAAATACTTTGAACACAGATGTGACATGTTGTAAATGAGTAGATATCCTGAGTCCCTAAAAAAGAGCATAATGCTCCTCCCCATGGATCATCCAGTGTTCTCTAACAATATGGAAATTTCCTGTCAGTGTTACAAAACTACACTTGTATGACCTAGCTAAATATAATTACTGACACTGGTCATTTGAATTGTTTGTCAGATGTTTTACATGCAGTTGTAGCTTAGGAGGAAGCACATTGGTCCCAGTCCATCCAGACTTATGTTGAAGAGTCCTTGTGCAAGAGACCGAACCCCAGGGTGCCAACCAGTG